TTTATGTTTGTCATGGAGCGCACTCTTGTCACCGCCTTCCCGCCTTTGGGGGCGCATGCCAAGGATGAGGGACCGCTCGTCTTGGTCCAACTTGTTCTGAGTCCTCTACAGGTCAAGGCTTTCGTTCGCTTGGCGCTCGATTGCCCTATGTCCCCCTTTTCCAACGGCAAGCCCTCGGTGCATAGTCGACTGTGCTCAATCAATTTGTGCTCTCCGTAAATGTTGGCGGTTGGTTTTTGTTGTTGGGTTGTCTTTGTTCCTTTCTCCACCATCTAACTGTTTTTCCCTTCCTTCAATGATGACCTGGACACCATGCCCACACGGCGTCCGTACTCGTGGAAAAAAAATTTGTGCTCTCCGTAAATTTTCCTGCATCGGAAACCTGGAAAAAGCAATGTGGCCATGCTGATGCCATGGTGAGTTGTTTGAAAAAGCCAACTTGGAACAATCTGAAACAGCTATTGGCAAAGTCGTATTCTTGGAAATAAGTCACACTTTGCCGAGCCAAAAAGCAATTGCTCGCAAACGTGCCACAATTCCTGCTCATGCGTGGATACTTGTTGCAGCATCAACTTTGCGACACAAGTGCTCACTGCCCGCAGATAGGAATTTCGCTACTTCCTGACCATCAAGTGCTGAGCGCAAATAGAAGAAAGAATTCATGGCCCCGTCTCACCTCGTTCTCACTCAACTTTTGCTTCGGCTTGGATGGCCCTTCAGACACGAACCTAGCCTTTCGGTGTTTTGTGTTTGGGTTTGGTTGGTTTTTGTTTTGTTGCTTGTATCTCCTTAGTTTTCCTGTGTAATTCAATCAAGGTGACTTGTGCCTTTCGGCACATACGGCGCCTCTACCCGTGCAAAAAACCTAGTAACAGCTGGTGTGTCTAGCAACTAAATCCTCTTCACGGATGCCACCAGAACAACCCCTCGTAGCTTGGCGACTTGACTCTAGGGCACAAAGAGGGGAGGAGACAGCGTTGCGGACAGGGGATGCATGGACTAGGGTCAGATGCAATGCGTCCGGCTTTGTGTCGGCTGGGGCTTTCTTCTCTTTTGCCCGTGATCTTCTCCCGCAATGCCTTTCGATAACGTTCAACTTTGCCGCGGAAAGCGGGGTTGTCGCGTGAGCCAACAGCATAACCGCGCTCCTCTTCTGAGCACCACTGATTGCCATATTTTTGAAATTGACGATCATCCTCGTGGCAATGGGGGCAACCATAATGAAAGTGATGGTACAGTGCCTCTCTATCCAGTCTTGTCAGCTCTTTGCGTGGCGAGATGCTTTCTCCATGGGCATTGCCTTTGTCAAAGTTGCCTGATGCTGTAGCCAGCCTTGAGCAGCGGATGGCAAATCGCCCATAACCTTGCGGGACCACATACGTTCCCGAAGATATCGGAGTTGCAAAAGTGCCCACAGAGCCTGCCGACAGCACTGCAGGCCCAAGCGGTTGTCGAGGCATCAGCGAGCTGACGAAATGTCTTCAAACATCGGTAACTTGGTGGAACCATCCAGTTACTTCCATTTGGGGGCAGGTAGTGGAGCCACCAGGGCACATGAGAGGGCTGCATGCACCAAGGGCCCGGTGTCCTATGTGTCGGAGGCTCCCCTGTGAAAGATCTCCGAGACGGAGGTACAAGCTTCAGGTTGAAGGTCCGGTCCTTTGGGCAGTGTAGGAGCTGGAGAAGAAATCGGATATTTGAAAAAAAAGTACAAATTTACTCCTGAAACCCAATGAAAAGTACTTTGATGCATTGATCAAGCTATACAATCTAGAAAACAAACGACCCAAAGCAACACCGGATCATCGCTGTTGGGACAAGTGGATTGCAGTGAGAGCCTCGAAGACGTTGATCCAGAGCGAAGAAAATCCTTTCGCAGTGGTTTGGGAACATTGATGTATATTGCTCAAGAGCGAATCGATTGCCAATTTGCGATCAAGTCTTTGGCGTCTTGGCTTTCGGCCAACGGTGAATGCAGAGCATTGTTTGGTTCATCTGATTTTGTATTTGAAGGGAACAAGGAATCTCACCTTTCTCATGGGCTATGAAGCCCCAGGAAATTCGATGACATGGAAATTGAACAATGTTTCAGGAGAAGAACAGGAAAGCAGTGGTAGAACACACCTGTTTGAATTGTTCACAGATTCAGATTGGGCTGTGCACATTCCCGCAAGAGCCTCATCGGGTATACTTTGTTTGAACAGCATTGTAATGCACAGTCACCCTAAAACCCAAAAAAGCATAGCGCTTTCATCTTGCGAAGCCGAGCTGTTGGCGTTGACAGGAGGATTGAGCGAAACACTTTTGGTGAAACAGGTTTGGGAGTTCTTGGTGAAAGACGTTGCCAGGATTTGCATTCGAGCTGATTCATTTTCGGCAAGGCAATGGTTGCAACGTAGTGGAGTTGGACGGTTGAAGAAACTCATACAGAATGGTTCTGTTGGCATCAAACCCATATCCACGAAACTCAACATTGCAGATCTCAACATGAAGAAACTCAGTGTAAGTCGAAGACATTTCCTCTTATTTTTCTTGCAAACGGTCTTATTGAATGAAGATTTTGAAATCGAAACAAGGATTGGATCTAGAGAGTTTTTCGAGCATTGCAATAGCAAATTGATGATCCAAACAGTACAAACAGCATTTGCACGAAGATTCAACCGGTGCAACCTTGGTACATTGATGACCATTGGTTTAGGACTTCAAGGTTGCAATCAGTCTGAAAGAGAAGTGAGTGGAATCATTTCTTTATTCTTCGTGGCAGGCATTTGTGTGGCATTCGTTTCATCAGTGATTTTCCTCGTACGAAGCTGGAGAATGAACGCAGGCGGGAACCTATCCCCGTAGAGGCAGATGAACCGGAACCATTTGCAGAAGGATCAATCGAGCAAGATTTGAGACTTGGTTTGAATTGGATCGAGAATGAGCTTCGAAAGAGGCATGAAGATTATGCAGTGCAATTTGATTTACAAGAGAAGAGACGCATGGTGATAGCGTTGGTGAGCATGGCAGTTCGGTATGAGAAGCCGGAATCTCGAAGAGCAATTCGTCAGTTGATTAATGATTTGTCGCTTGGAAGTCTAGAGACATTCCCACGGTCGAGTGGCAGCGGCAGTGCATCAGATGGTTACAGTGGAGCTTCAGGCAATCAGGAAGAGCTTGAAGTGTCTGGTGATGAACCGGAAGAAGACAAGAAAATCCGCTACAGGTGGTGCAGTTTGAGTGAGGCAAGCGATCCAGATCTTTGGATGGCAGTACATCATGGTGCTTCGACAAGTGAAGACGAAGAAGAAGAAGCAGAAGAAGAAAAGAACGGTACAAATCAAGCTGTGAAAGAAGAGACAGTGGCTTCATCGAGTGAAGAGCCCAGACCAAGTGGAAGCAAGAGATTTGAAGTTCCAGAGCCGGAGCAAGAAGAGCAGATTTCAGCGGCGCAGAATGAGAGTGTACGACGGCGTGTGACGTGTACCCGTGCACTTCGAGATGGAGATGTAACCGCTGAGCCAGAGAAGGAATATGTGTGAATGCATGTCACGACAACTGGACACAACGAACGAATTCAGGTCACGATAGAATGATTGAACAAGTTTCATAGAAATTTACATTCCGACCTTAGTCTGTGGTCACCTAGGAGATGGTGATGGAATGTACAGGAATGGAAAATCGAAAGACTCGAAAATCTCGCCGTTTCAATTTTAGGCGGGGTGTCAGAGTTTGTAGGATGGACTAGCATGTATAGAAGATGCAGTTGCTAGTTGAAAACTACTCGTACGTCCGCAGCGCTTGAGTCCCAAAGCAGGCGCGAGGTTGGGCTTTCGTTACCTAACATAGAGCAAGATTCGTGTGAGCACTGTTCAAGATGCTGCGGATGATTCTCAGATCGAACTCATTGCGGATTGCGCTCGAATGCCCGTAAGATTGGCAGAGACACCGTCCAGCCACTTCATCTTGGCGCTCGCGCCAAAATCTTTTTACAGACCTTCTCAGTGGTGGTGAGTCGTGAACAAAGACTCAAGTGGCAGTGCCACAGCTTCTGCTGTCCCAGCCGTTCGGCCAGAAGGGCCATTTTGCTCAGAGTTGAAATTCCCCTGCGAAAAGATTCCGCTGCAACTCTGTGAACTTTATGTCACTTGCTGTGGAAATATCGAGAGAATGAATGAGGTGACATTAAGTTTCGGATGGAACCAAAAAAATTGACAAACGCAAAGAACAGTAAACCATAAAGTAGAACCTCAATGAAAGAGCGACTACGGCGACTACGGTAGAAGATAGAGATTGACATTCTATTGAATCCAACACTTCCAATGATGGAATAATTCATTCAAACCGTGCTTTTGTGAACTCATTGCCAATATACTTTAATCTTAGAAGAGGTTTGTTTTCATTATCTGATATTTCCGTTCGCACTACATTTTCTTTCAATCGCCGGGTTAGTTCCACCTTCTCATCATTTTATTCGTTTTCATGGTTCTATTTTCTTCCTTGTGGATACGTCTTTCCTGCATAATTTTCATTCAAAAGGCTACCAAAGATAAACACGTTAAGAAGGGTTGCTTCTTAATTTACTTCTCACTTGGCGACGCGAGGCTCCGACCTGAAAGCGCGTTTTCAGAAGAAAAACATGGGCGTCTAGAGCATGAAACGGTTCGTCCGAATTGCGATGTCATGTTCTTCAAAACCAAACAACATGCGTTTTCCGAGTTTGAGTCTCACGTATCTGAGGGATCTTGATTCATTGTCCATGACAGCTCACAAAGCGAACAAACGAAACTTCTTCGGTTTGGCATAAATTAGCCGCATGATGCCGATTGGCCGCACGTCTTGCATAGCAATCATGCAATATGCAATCGGGGTCACATAGAACCAAGTTGTTACAGTTCCATATAGAGGTAAACAAAGCAAGCACCGGCAAATTGTGTGACCACACTGCAAAAAAGGTCAATATCAATGCAAAAAAAAATCAGAAGCGTCTTCTCTGCCAGTTTCGCGACAGCCAGTTATTTTCGTCAGGCATTCTTTTGAAACCATGTAGCGCTGCCTGAAGCATGAAGTCATGCAGCCGGCCCAGGCGATCGGAGCGAGTGTGCGAGTGTTTGGTGGCGGAAACGGTTTTGGTGGTGTGGAGGGTCGTAGATCCACGAGGGTTGTAGACAGCTTTATATACATTGCAATTAAAGGCAGTGAGCTGGGAGTTCTCTCATTGCATCTGGCGGCGTTCTTGCAACAAATGCCGTTGATCATGTTTGCAACGGAATTGACCGGAATTATTTCAGCTTTCTTTTTGAAGTCCCACAAACTCACGGGGATGAACAAAACATTCGAACATACCACATTTGGATGCAGTCATCCAATTGACACTAATAGTTTTGCAGATCGTCGCCTCTAAAGTCAGCCTGGTTCCAAGTTGAGACAGCCTGGTCTGGTCCTGGAAGTGCGGCAGCAGATGCTCCATCAATCACCCTAATAAATTGTTTTAACTTTTTTGAGATGAGAGATGATCATTTTGCTGTGTCATGACAGCTGTTTTCTTCCTCTTCAGCTTTATAGCCACCTGATCTGGGATGTTTTCGAGCTACTTCGGTTGCCAAGATGGTCTTGTCCTTTGATGTCCTTTGGCCAACCTTTTCAATGGCTGCAGTTCTGAACTCAAAAGTTGAAAAACACAGGTAGTGATGAAGATTTGCATTGCAACGCTGAGTTCCACCAATTCCTGGACCAAGTCCGGTGAAGCCTTGCTGATGGCGTGAAGAGTAAAGGAACCCCAGCAGACTCAAGTGCCACAAATCCATCTCCTGGTTCGACTACAGTCAACTATATTGAGCCTATATATTGAAACCCCTGCGCCTTGAAAGGCATTTTTCGGACGCCTCCAGTTTTCCACGTCCCCAGTCACCCCAGCCCCCTCGGTGCTCCCCGGCCGTGAGGCCATTTGGGAGTCCCGCTACCTCAACTCCACGGAGGTGAGCGGACGATCCAAGTGGACCGAGAGCGGCCTGATCGCGGACGGATCGGAGAGTGGGCTTTATCGTTGGTCTGAAGCTGGAGAAATCTTGGGTTGGACCATTTTCCCAACCTTTCACCGGTGTCCAAGAGCTTGTGGTTTGACTCGAGACTCGTAGAAGAGAAAGACTATGCAAAACTCCTTCCTCCAGCTTCATCCAGTTTCACCACCGTTGCGAGCGTTCCTGTTGCGCTGGCCGAGAACGCCCGCCCGTTTTGTGTGTTTGCTCCGGTCTCCCTTCGGTGCCGCGTCCGGGCGTCCGGTCGAGGCCTATGCCGTGGTGCTCCGATCCCTGGGGCGGCAGAGTTGGCCACTGGGCGCGAGCGACGGCGCGAGCGACCGACCCGGGGGTCGCGATCCGACAGGTGGAACAGTGTAGATGACCAAACGATATAAGGGGTTATTCAGCAAACATGTTTGAGTTCTATAGCAGGATTTCTGCTAGAGTCCAATTTTGGTCGGTGTTCGAAGAAGAAACACGTGCCAACATTTCGAGTTTGGACGGGTGTCCGTGTTTGAGATGGGCATTTCCATGCATTTTGGGCGCGGGATGAGACTACGAGCGGGATGAAACTTGGGCAAGTATCCTGATGAATGGCAACTCAACTTTGTTGTATCGCGGTAAGACTCCATCCTACTATGCATCACTAACGATATGAATACAGTCATATATGAGCTTTGGTACAATTCAATACACATCAGTACACAGTTTTTCACACATCCAAGACTGTTTTTCAAGCAGTAGATCCGCCAAACTTTGTGCTTGCAAGCGTCGTTGTGGTGCCCGAAGTGCTCCCATTCGCCGTCTTCTTCGGCACCTTTCCTTCTTGGGTTCTGCGCAGCACCGTTCTGCATTGAGGTGGCGACGGGCAGTGGAAATGTTCCTGGAGATGCCAGAGAAGCAGGCTGGGCCTGGCTAACCGGCTCCAGGGTGCTGGCAGTGAGCTGATGAGGTAGCTTTCGTTCCTGGAAGTCCAGGCTAGGATAGGCAAGGCATACCCTGGAAGAGCAGAACAACAGGCAACACATGGTAACACGTAAACTCATTAGCCTCAGAATGCCCATATTCCCTTCTTTTTCTCCATGATTCACGTGCTGGCGCCCCTGATAGTCAAAGCGCATCAAAAACGGGCCACAATTGTTAAGCACCACCAAGTGGTTTTGCTTGTGCTGGTCATCCGTTGTTCGCTCGGTCAGAAGGGTGGCACAGCTTCCCGACCCCAGCTTTCCCGGGAACGTCGCAGGCCGTGTGAATTTCCACACTCAAAAGTAGATGACCTCCATGAGGAAGGACAGAAGCCAGTCACCCTATGTTACCCTTACTTGTACTTTTCCTTAATGGTGATTGTATATAGCGGTCTCTTTTTTGGGGCCATCCAGGTCCACGGTGTAAGCCACTGGGGTCGCACCGGGGGCGGCGCGTGCTTTCGCTGGTTCCTCGCAGTTGGCTGTGGACCTCCGAGCGCTGAACGGCGTGCTGAGCGCTTGCGAGGAGGTGGCGCACGCCGGGCACGGGTGGCGGTGGAGTCGTGCGAGCGTTGAGGCGAAGACTTCTGGTTTTTAGGCGTGAGGGTGAGTGGCCGTGATTGAGTATCCCAATACAAAGGCCTGGAGTTGATAGAGTATCCTTCACCCTTCGAGAGCTTGCTTTTTGGCCATCCCCAAAAGATTTGATCGTCATGTTCAACACTCCCGATATTAATGGAGGCTCTTTCTGAAAGCTCCCTGAAACAATAGAGGTGTGAGATTTTTGGGCAATGGATGACAGTTTCTGCAAGAAGACAAGAACCCTGCTGCGTGATTGGGAGCGAGGATGCTGTTGTTGGGAAGTCATCGCTTTAAATGGAAGTAAGCCGGCAGATACGGAAGAAACTCTAGATCTTGCATGGAAAGGTGCCTGATCCAATCTATATACTGTACACATCACCTGATTTGCTAGCAGGATATCATTTGCTCTTCCAACATCTCTTCATCTCTTTCGCGGAAATTCCCTGAATGATTGCATGTGGCTACCGGTTCAGACCGCCTCATCCCGACCCGCCCCACCCCCCGAGCGACCGGAGAGGGTGGTGCCTGGCCATGGGCGATTCAACTGATGCCAGGGGTGCCCATGGGGTTGGAGTGACCGTCCGCGAGGTGTCGCGACACGGTGTCGGCGTCGGCGTCGGGGTCGTCTGTGTTGTTTTTTTTCATGTTGGTGGTTCTCGTCGGAAGCAAGGAGATAGGCCCCAGGGTGAAGTGGGTGGGGGCCTTGAATTGGGCACTTGTCTCTATTTCAATGTAGCCTTTATAAATAGTTGTTCGGATTTTCAGGTCGTTATGCCGATCGGGAGGATTGGTACCGGGATCCTAAATGACATAGATTTTAGGTCTTGCATGAAAGTTTGTACCGTTTTGGAGGGTCACCCTACCTTCTCCCTCCGAACTGATGTCGTCTTTTGCATGTGTGACGTCCCCATTTGGACACATTCTGATGGATGAACTGGCAGGGGAAACTGATGGAAACTGATACAAGTGGAAGGTGATCTTGTCAACCTAATAGGCCATCTTCACCAAATGGTAAGCATCGATTTCTCCCTCAAGTTTTTCGACATGGTTTCCCTTTGCCCACTTTGGTGGGTGAACCCTCTTCAATCCTTTTGTTTTTCTTTCCAAAACCCTGTTGCCAACCCTCTCCGTGTGGGACAGCAGGACAGCACGGCAAAAAGACCGAACGATGACCAGCTGTCGATCCCCGGAACTGCAGGGCTGATGCCGTACCGGAGCTCTTGCCGGACGTGCCCTGCCAGGGGGTCCGAGAAGAGATGTCACCAGTGCAAGCGTTGTGTCCAAACTCTGCAGATGGTTCTGCAGATGGTTTGATTCTCATCGTCTTCTTTTTGGTGGGTGAGTCATTTGCAAAAAAAGGCCTTCACTTTGGTTTGACGACACACGAAACAATCTACTGTGAACATGGAGACTGTCCGGGTGTGAAAACATTTCAAGTCGGTTGACGGTCCTTTCTTGTGAGTCTCTGGAGTCGCTTTTCGGCCCCCCTGGATTGAAGTGTATGAGTTGTGGACGTGTCGCAATCTGCAGAACGTCAGCCTGTGAAAGGCATTTCGGCACATTTGTACGGGTTTAGACATGAAATTCCGTAGACATCGTCGTATATTGACCATCTCTGCCATTTTTGTCCCTGTCATGTCGAGGCCTTCGAAAGGCTTTGAGCAGCTGTCGCAAGGGATGTGCCTGGCGCTGGGCACTTGTGCTTCTGGATGACTTTGAAGGCGGCTGGTTGCGGGTGGAGAGCGAGGCATATGTGGAAAGCTGACAAGTCGAAGGGTTCTGTTGGGGGTACGGGTACTGGGGAAGAAAGATGGAAGCTGGATGATATGTTAGCTCTTCCATCTTTTTGGGACAGTTCCTTCTTTTTTTGCGACAGTAATGTTCCTTTTTTGTTTTCCAACAAGTTGGAACATTCCTGTAACATTTCTGAAAAAACACGGGGTTTTTGTCTGTAGGCTGCTGAAGAGGTTTGAATTAATGCGCAGTCTTTTTTCTGGTTTCTGAGTGACGTTTAAGTGGATTGTATGTGTTTGTTCTCTTTTTTTCAGGATTTGTCCATTCCAGTGGCAGAACCCCGAGGTCAGGCAGGGGCAGTGAACCATCAAAATAACGAGCTCCGGCCTTCAATCGCGGACCCCGAACGCTTCATGCCAGACGCTTTTTGATGTGTCGCAGAACAGCCATGAATGAGGTGCAACACTGGAGTTTCTCCTATTTTCATGTCCTTCTTTGTCGATCTTTATCCTACAGCTTCCGCTCTTTTGGAGAGAAGAGCGGAACTTCTTCAGTTGGCTCCACCCCGGTTGGGAGGCTCCCAGGTCGGCTTTCGTTCTCACCTCACGAGGCTTCGGCTTTCTGGTGGACGCCACCACCCTCCGCCAGGCGGGGCGATTGGGGCAGGAGGGTTTTGGTGAGGTAGAAAGAGGGTGTGGTTGAGATTGGTGGTTGAGATGGCCCTTGAAATCTATTTGTGGGGTTACGGGTTACACTAGTTACCTTTGGGGGTTACGGGTTGCTCTAGTTTGGTGTTGATTTGGTTATATATACTCAATCTATCTCAATCTTCAGACCAACTTGGAAGGTTGGGGGTATGGAAAGATGGAGGTGCGGTTAAGGGAGGGATGCATCCTCCAGAAGGCGCTAACTAAGCACCAAGGAATTCCCTTCTGAAGCATTCAACGTGTATCTCAATTGACAAGGATACTGAGCATGACCTGGGGATGGTCAGGTGGGATACGTGTTGAAACTGTTCCCTTCTCTTCCCACTTCGCCACCCAGTCTGTGTCTGAGATACCGCCTGAACGCCTCACAGACCGCACCGTGTAGGGAGACTCTCAGACCAAGCCCAAAGGGTTACTCAGTCCTTTGGGGAAGCGATAGTGGTGATATTTGGAGGCGCCTGCTTGGAAGGTCACCAGTTTTCTCTCTTGGAAGGTCACAGGACACAGACCCGCGAAAAGCACTACTGTACTTCATGTGGCGAGTTAGTTCAGGACCTCCACGCGTGCCTGCGCCACAAAATTTGAGGCCATTGCCGCCTGTGAAGGCGGGATGAGATGATGGAAAGGAGGGTTGCTGATGTGCTTGAGCCCTTGGATTCTGGGAGGCTGAAATTGTTTTTGTGCGACGCAGACAAACACAGAATCCTGCTGCGTAGGCATGCACATTCTGCAGTTTGTAGCAGATGTTGCGGTTTTGCTCCGTTCCAAATTTGTTATGGCCACTCACTGTGCTGGGCAAGTTGCAGGGAATCCGCGTTGGATGTTAGTGAGAAAACACTGGTTCCGAGACTACAAAGTAGTATAATGTAATATATTATTTTTGTGTTGCCTGTTGCCTGAGGTTCATCCCCTGAGATTCATCACCTGAGGCGCAGGCCGCGAAGCCAGAGATGCCAAAGTTGCATTGGAACGACGTCGGAAGCGGCAGGACACCGAACTGGCCCGTCGGGACCAACTGGACTAGTTGCAATGGCCCAACATCAACAGCATGGGGGCTTTACATCCGTAAGCCAACTGCAGGTGATCTGCAAAAATAGCAAATAAGGACTGCGTCCTATGGAACTTTGCTTGATTTCCGCGAAAACGCACTACGTAGGAAATGGAGAGTGTCATTTTGATAGACAGGGAACCTTGCAGAACAGCGAACCTTGCAGAACACATGTCGCAACCACTTGGCCAAGTTTTGGTCTTCCACTTGCGGCTTCACCGCAGTGTTAGGGTTTAGGGGAGCAACCGCAACACACTCTTCTGCAAGATTCTGCAAGACTCAGGTGCGCCACTCAACACCCGATCCGAAGCACCGACCGGTCGGTGCCTAAGCACGCCAGGAGGTGGCCCATGATGCTCGTTGGCCAATCCAGAAGAAGCCCGTCAAAACAGAAGTCTCCGAGCGGAGGACCATGAAGGTGGGAGCCGGCCAGATCGAGGGTGTTTTCTTGTGTAATTGTGTAATTTTATATTTCTTGTGTACTTGTGTAATTTTATGCAGATACATTTGTATATATATATATACATACATGTCATATGTGAACATGCAGTGGGAACGAGGGTTTGCTTTGAAGAAGCAGGGTGTGTGCCTGCACCCAACACACACACACACACACACACACCACACGCACGTCAGAAGGTGTGAACATCGTTTTCAACCGCCACGAAGTGATGCCCTGCGGAATTCTCGTTCGTTCGAACGATCGATAGGACACGTGGAACAGGGTTTCTCGTGCATCGAGACCGAATGGAGACCCTAAGCCCTAAGCTTTGTGTTTTAGCATGAGACAGTAGGAATTGTGGATACATATACTACGTAAATGATGAAAGAAGCAGGCCCGTCAATGACAAGAGGGATGGCCCAGGGTTTGTCTGTGGTGTGGGGTCATAGGCGGGACGAACTTTGAGCAGGGAGGTTGGGAAGGTTTGTTCGAAGCTTGATAGCAACAGTTTAAGGATTGCTCAAGCAATCGGGCCTACTGGACTCTCCCTATTTGGTGTGTAATCATGGAATGCTTGCTAGGAGAATCTAGGAGAATAAGAGTTCTTTAGAGTTGGATGGCAGACTCTGGTCAATGTAGCACGTATATATGCGGCACGAGATGCACGCACTATTTATTCCAAGACCCAATGTGCATGCCCCTCTCCCCGCCGTACATGCTCCCCGCTCCTTGCGCGCAGCAAGAAGCTATGAAGAAATTGTCGATGGGCACAACTTCAGGGCCGGAGGTGGGAAGTGGTGAGGGCGTGAGAAGGTGCCAGAAGGGATTGTAGGGGCATTGAATGGAGATTCAAGTGCCGACGACCCCTGAAATGAGCATGAACCGATTCGGGAAGAGAAGACACGCGCAAGCCGTCGCACGGGGCAGGCTCCTGTGGCAGGGTGGAGCGAAAGTTTTGATCACATCTTTTTTTGGATCAACTTTTACTTGGGAGACAGTCTGACACTATCGTTGAAGCAGGGCGCGTGATGGCATATGGAGATTTGCACAAACATTTGCGCACCCCAACCCTCGTGTGGAGCCCTTACTTTGGTGCACAACTATCAAAAGTTCCTGTTCGACCTCAGACACTTCATGCTATGGCCATCCAGTCTGGGTGTCGATCACGAGTCTCCAGCGGTCGGGTCGTCTGTCGGATGCTCCAGACCGACTCGAGCGAGCGAAGAGCTGCGCTGCCGCCAGGCGATGGGATATATTTCGCTCCTGCGAGCCAACTTCAAGCTGAGCTGTAAGGAGCCTCCTGGCCGCAATGCTGGACACCGGGGCCGCTGGACAAAGCGTGCGGCCTCGTTTTTTCTTTGGGTTGAGGCTTTCAGAAGAGTTTGGGTTGAAGTTCATACCCGGGGCCAGCAGAATGTTCAACGTGTTCGGAAAAGTCCTGCTTAGCCACGCATCCAAAATCCCAACAACAACCAACAGCTCAATAGTTCAACAACCTGCAACAACCTCAATCACAGTTCTCCTTCCTCCCGAGGTACACGATGCTCATCTCTTTCTTGTCCACTCGGACCTTGTGGAAGAGTGCGCTCACGCTCTTTTCGGAGATGCCGGACTGGCGACCGTTCTCAGTGAGTTTCGGCATCGCGACGTGGGTCTCAAATGAGAAGCCTCCAGTATTGCGTGTGTGGTGGTGAGGTGATTCTGGGGACACTCACACAATCAAAATAATGACAACAACAACAACAACAACAACAACAACAACTCTCAGACATGTGAAAATAGTGAACTGACCATTCCTCAGATCAGATCACATCTTATGCAGAAACAGCTGAACAAGCTGTGTTGTGGTTGGTGTGGGTTGCCTTTCGTCGAGGAGACAGGCACATGTTACACGGAGCGTGCCCTCGTCGACCAGGTCAGTTGGAAGCTTCACACTGATGGCTCCATCGTAGCATCACCCCCCATCTGATAAGTCCCAAGACCCAAGTTTTCTGCCAAGCCAATCGTTTTTTGGAACCTTCTCCATGCTTTTGCCCATGGGCTTAAAGCATCTTGGAACCACTCGTGGAGTGACGATGTGTTTGAATATTACCTAATAAATGATTTTGTGGGCCATTTTGATGTTTTTTTTGGGGATGCGGCGAAAGCGAGCCCGGCGAAAACGGTTCTTGCCATGCACCACCCGCAGCCACCGGGCGTCGTGGCGGTAGCCACGCCTCACTGCCTGACGCGTCGATTGGGAACGTTGGTTGTCGCAGGAGCGTGAAGCCATTCCAGACCAAACCGCCTACACCACGGCGATCGCAGCATGCCGTTTGGCCAAGTCGGCGCACTGAGCACGTTTCTGCCGTTTCTGCCGGAGATGAAGTCTTTTTGTTTTCCAAGAAGGTCATCTTCACATGCTCCTTTTGCCAGAGGGATGAATAAGAACGATAATAACCCTGCAGATGGAGAACCACTTGTGTCTCAGCTCAGAGGTGTTGTGTTGCAGTATCGATTGTTTGTCCACAGCAATCGATGTTTGTACCAGGCACGCAAGCGTTGATTTCATTATAATCAAAAGGATAGCGCAAGCGAGCCCAAAGCAGCTTCCGGCGCTGGGCCATGGCATCATGTTTGCCAGTTCCACCCACGCAAATGCCCGCAGTGCAGACGCCTTTAAACTGCACATGTTGCAGTTGGACACATTATAGAGTCATAGAGCGAAAGGTAGATATTTTTGTTTACAACGCCACATGCTTGGATTGGGGGTCTCCTCATTCTGGCATGCACAAGGAAGAAGGTGATCCGTGGGTCACACGCCAGTGGGTCAAGCGTTTTTGAGACTTCCGCCTTTTCGGAATCCAGAATTTCTTGGACGGTTTGTTTTCCAGGTGTTCTCCAACACATCCAAGATCATGCAATAGGTGTTTTCATTTGGTGTCAGGCATCGGGTTTCGCCGTCGCTTCTCGACCGCTGTCGGAGCGATGAGCTGGCGAGGCGCTGGACTCACGCGCTGGAGCTCTATGCGAAGATGTGCGATGAGCTGGCGAGGGCCCTGAGAGGTTTGTGAGGCAATGCAGAGAGTGGTTTGGTTCCTGGAATCCTTGACTAGAGAGTGCTGAGACTTTACTGAAAGACCTGAAAGGGGGAGAGTATACAAGTATCGCTATCGCTTTGTTCGGTTGCTATGGTTCACATATCACCTTCAGCGGTTGGAGGTCCAGCAGTTGAAGGTAGATCACCTTGCAAGGTATTATTGGACAGTGTGTTCAGCCACATGGATCTTCTTGAATTCTTTTCCAGTCCTTAAAAAGCCCTTCTGCTTGGATGATGACCACTGTCCATCCATCGCATCCATTCTTCACAGCTACCCAGATTGGGGGGTTCTCGCCGGTCTCGCCCCTCCACTTGGAGAGAAGCCGGTCTCGCCTGAGTCCGCGGACTCGCATGGTGTGACGTACTTGGCCTTCAGGGCTGAGGGTCTCACCGGTAGCACAACCGCCTCTAACGGTGGTTTTGCTGACAGCAAGTCATTATTGAAAGAACATGCCAAGAAGAACACTAGATCCAGGACAGGCGTCTGAACTAGATCGGGTCCCATGGCTCCCAGTCACACCCGACACCGATTCTAAAGTCCCTCGCTCAGAGTCACAACCCAAATCTTCCAGGGGTAGCTGGATCGTACAGCTTTTGAGATACCCCCAAAGATGCTTTAAACCAATCAGAATTGCCGATGAAGAGGCCTTTTCCGGATGTGGCTACAGTAAAAAGGGTTGATTCTCAACTGCCCGTGTGTCCCTTGACCCTCAAGTTCGTGGGGATATCTTGGAACCATGTCACATGTCGAATTCGAACCCGTGAAGAACATCCCACGGATTCGACGGGGCCCAGATGCCACCCACGATCTCCACCTTGAATGTGCCCCGACTCAGAAACCGACCGGCGCGGGCGGAGAGGGGGGTCAAGGAGAGGGTCTCTCCCACCCACGTTGGGGTCGTCCTTCCAACATCTTCCAACTCTTCCAACGGTGCAGTACTCGGAACATCTCGGGTTCCGCGCACCCTCAGAAAATGAGTGGAAGATGGCCGCACCTCAGAGGGTCTCCCTCGGTTTTTAATGGAAGCCTTTTTCTGTCCTTTTGTGTTTTCAAAGGTTTTTGGGTGCTGCTGGAGCACGGGGGGCAGGGGCGGGAGACCTCATGGCTGGTGTAGAGAGCTCATGTTGGTCCGGAAAGTTCCGTTTTCGCTTTCCAAAGGGTTCCAGTAAGTGATAGATTGTAGAGCTTCGCAGACCGGCGATGCCGGTTGGGCGCGTGGTATTTGCATAGTTTTTTGTGCTTTTACGCCAGGAAACCACGTAAATACCGATGGTTTTGAACTACCAAGTGCTCAAAGCCACGGTATTTACGAGGTTTTCTTGAAAAGCGCAATATTTTCAGCATTTCGCGCACCACGCCCCCAAAAAGTCGATATTTACGCAGTTTTTGCAACGCTGCGGCATGTTTTTTCTAGATCGAAATTTGTGAAAGCACTTAAATTTACAGTGTTTTGCGCCTTGGCGCAAACCGAAAAAAGGCTTTAAAGCTGTCCCTGTAAGCCCCCTCTCCCTAACCAGGCTCAAGGATTTTGCTACATTTCTCGCTTTGCCGTTTTTGGAATTGCTCCAAGGGCAAAAACGGCTCGAAATGCAGGCGAGAGCGCAATACTTTTAGCTCGATTTCACAAAACACCGTAAGGGGGGGTCGCGTCGCCGGCATCGGGAGCACCCCTCGTAGCTAAAGCTAGAGGCGAAAAGCTACACCATACGGCATCGCCGGAGTGGGCTAACGCCCAGGTGCCGCCGACCCCTATTTGGAGCCAGGAAGACAAAGGGATTGAAGCCTACTTGGATATTTAGGGATTATGGATTTGGTTTCGGATTTCAGCAGGTTCCGCGCCCGGGTCAGGTGGGTTTCCAGAAGACTCCGGAAGGGCTTGAGACCTTGTGGACAGGAAACGGCCCAGAGCCTTCGTTGGCGCAGGTTTTCTTGGCATGTTTCTACTCGACCAAAAACTGTCGCTTCACACGCTTTGATGGCATACCTCATCCCTTATATAGCCGGCCATCGTCCCATTCATGATAAGTGAAATATGGAAGGTTGCAGGAACCTTGCATGGCTTGATTGTAGCAGGATTCCAGAATGTTCGAGAAGGGTCCAAGATCTTGTCCATAAACAGCTTGCAAGATTGTTCTCCCACCGAAGGAAAGGACCTTCCTGAATGTTGGAAGATGTCTTGGGGGTGTTTGAATATAATATATGTAACTTGACTGCTCAGGCCAGCTGAGAAAAAGGATCTACAAGAAAAAACCCAGCAGCAAGAAGACGAGCCTGGCTCGTCTGCGCGAGCGCCCAGGCGTTGATCTCAGTCTGTGGTCAGTCTGAACGCTGGCGGGAGGCCTTGCGTGGAGCCCCGGCGTCCCATGGGGCGGTGGATGAAGGAGCCAAGATACTGGGCTGGCCTTGCGTACTTCTGGCGGCCAAAGGTAGATCTTGGCCTTCGGAAAAACATCTCATAACATCTCCCTTTTTGGGTGTCAAACCTCTATTTCGCAGAACATCTGAAAATGAATCCAAGAAGCTGATGTCAGTGGGGGTGAATGTAGAGCCACGACAAGTTCGTTTGATTTGTAAGAGATCAACTTACAGGAGGATGATGGAGGATTGATTGGATGTTGAACTGCTGAGAACCGATGACATCCCGCAAGAGGTTTTTGATCCCACATGGTTTGAGCTATGGAAGAAACTCTGACCACGCACTCAGAACTGGGATGGCCCCTCATTTGGGAGTTTGGCAAACTGAACGACGTGCCGCGAGTTCTTTCACCGCAGAAATAGTTCATCACGCTGACAAATGGGGCGGCTAGTCGGGGCTCCTGTCTTCCCTGTGGTGTGGCTCCATCAAGATGCTCGCTGATGGCGTTGCACACTGTGAGCCTGAGTGGCCAAGCTAGATACAGAACTGTCCCGATTTTCCTGTCGTCAAGGTGTTTGCGTCTGAGTCTGAAGCAACCTTTTGGAGTGATAGGCCAGTGATAGGGTTCTGCATCCAAAAATGCATTTCACTGCTTAACCACGTCAGTCTCACCAGGCCTCCACAATTCAAACCCCTTGTCATGGAATTGTGGCACTGAATGGATAGGAAGGATGCCTAGCAGGTTGGATGTGCTGGAAGGAGCGGACCACCACCTTTGCAGGCAGAGATTTTTGCAGTGCGGACAACTGGTTGGGAAGAGCCTGCTGCCGACCTTTTGTGGAATCATCATGAATCACGTTGTACTGAGGAACAGCCATGGCGACGAGAAGAGATTGCTATTTAGAGACTGCATGGAGGTTTCGTGCGAGATCGTCCTTTTCCTTGTAGGTGGAAAGGTCAGCCCACACTGGCTAGCCTGACAAGAAGATTGGCTTGGTGAAATGCTGCAAGGTCGATGGTAAGTCGAACGGAGATTTTGGAAAACTTTACCACTACAGATGCCAAGTGGGTAGCAAAAGCCAGGCATCTTGGACTGCACAGTCAAGTAGAAGTACCCAAAGGTATGGCAAGCCAGCCGTTGTTTCTTATGTAGTTGGGCGGGTCCTTTGTGACTTGGGGGGTTGCTTACCTTTGCGACATTGGCGCGGTAGATCTTGAAATCTCAACATTGCTTCAGGCATGTATCTGACTGCCGAGGTTGGTCTTCGAAGAGATTGCAGGGTTTTCGCTCCGCCACTTGACGGGAGTCCTTGAGACATCACAAAACCGTTGAAGGAACACCAACAACAAAGGGAACAAATTCGTTCACAGGCCTGGATCCCTCATCAACTACCAATGTGCAATCTTAACAGAATCACGAAAGGCAACGAATCCATCAGTCTGTAGGGTTTTGCATCTCTGCAGGAAGTTCAGGGGTTGATCCAAAATTTGAATTGATGAACTAACAGTGCTTTTGGTAGATTTGACTGTATTATGCAAGTGCCTGGGTTTGAACGAAAAAGTTGGGACCTCTGCCGCAATGTTCCAACAGCGGTTGAACCAGAGGGGTTCCAAGTTCCAAGAGTCCTTTTTTCAACAACAAAACTGTTTTACGTGACCCACAATCACTTTACAATGTTTATGACATGTTTTCTTCATATTAATGTTTCATTGCTGAGTGTGCGGAGACACATCATTTGTTGTTGTTTTTTTAATGCTTTGTTCATGCTCGGTGTGTGTTCAATCACCTAAGTCATTCACTGTTCTGCTCCACACCGAGACCTGGTAGACCATGGGTCCACGGGTCGGGGTCTTCGACCGGTCACGGAGGCCCGGACGGGGTGACGTTGAAAGCGACCTTGGAAGCTGCCACCGAGGGCCGGTGCGGCGGCTTGGTGAGGGGGTGCGGCGGCTTGGATGTCCCCAAAGTTCGGAGTGTTTTCATGGGTTGCGTTCCACCCAAGCTGGATTTCTCTCAGAAAATGGGGGAGTAGGACACTTTCTGACATCTTTAGAGGCGAAGTCAAGGCTCAGGTAGGGTGAGACTAATCCAACCGACTGGAATTCAGGGCGCGGAGGAACCCGCTTGGCATCTTCTGATCTGAGGAGGAAGCACCACCAACAGCCCTTGATCATGCACATGGTAGACTGGCCTCTGGTGTGGGAAAGTTTCCGTGTTTCCAGCAAAGAGGATTTTCAAATCGGTCGGTTTTTCTTTTTTCTCCGGTGTCCACCACAACGCTTTGAATGAACCACAGCGTCTTGACGCAATGAGACATTGTTTGACATGTTGTTGTGTGGCTCCACCTCTGCAGGTCATAAATACTTTCAAGGTTCACTCATTACTAGTCTTGAAAGCACTTGGTTTGTATCCGAACTGAAAGGGTGTCATTCATGAAGGAAGCCCTGTTATTTGACACCTTCCAAGAATGCTCAGGATCCAATGCATTCGCTTGGACGTGCGGACCTCCCACCCTGCTCTCCTCCGCTGGAATTAGCGTCCCCGTGGTGCCTGGATGAACAAATGGCCCGGTCGTGCCACAGATAGGTCTTAAAGAGTCGTAGTAAGCCAAGTTTAACGCTCACACAAGCCTGAATGGCTCAAACTGATGTGAATCACCATGAGTCCATGAGGCGCACGGCGCACGCTGTCGCCCAAATCATTCGACAGGCAGTGGCCCTTGGCGTTGCGCCTCTTGAGAGCCACCCCGCAGCCGGAGGTGTCGTTCCGGCGCGCGGGAGACAAACAATTGCAGAGATTTGCATCTATGAATCATCTATCAATTACCTCCAAGTGCGATGACTTATGTTATGAAAACTACAGCTGGAGGGAGACTGACATGTGGAAGAATCGGGAACGGAAGACTAGGAGATCAACTGGGTAGATCCTCAACTGGCGTTTGGGGCATTCGAGGGCACAATCCAGAGCACATGGGAGGGAGAGTCGCAGGGTCCGCCTGCTCTGCACTGGCACGTTGACGGTGTTTGTTCCTTTGTTGACGATGGCGATGTGCTTCTGATCTCTCATCAGGCCTACCACTTCAATCAAGCTCTTCGCGCTTGTGAGAGGTGCATCGCGTGTCAGGGTACTGGAAAGCCTTTGAACGCTAGGACTCTTCCTTCTTTCTGGTTTAGACATGACTTGGAGTCTTCGCAAAACTTTGTGTCAATGCCAACCGCAAGCATTGCCTGTGTCTCCTCATGTCACAAACACAAAGACAGAGCATGACAGACATCAGGAAAAGAATGAATCGTGTTGGAGAACAGAGATTGATAAGCTGTTGACAGAGATACAGAGATGGATAAGCTGATGTAGTTGATTGTAGTTGTAGTTTATACAACTAAGATCGATGTAGCATGATGTAGCTGATGTAGTTGAGAGCTTCGTTTCGCTTCACCGTGTTCACCGTGGATCCGCTGGACCCCGAACGTGGATTCACCGGTCAACTCCAAACAAATTAAGTGAATGCAAGCAAAATGAGAGTATAGGACTGTTTTTCCACTTTTATTCCCGTCATGTCTATTTTTGTTCCTACTTTTCTGGCTTGTCTTGATGAGGGTCCTGTCACAGGTTATCATGAAAGATAGTTAGAGCTGGGATAAAAAGCGGTCGTTTCAGATGTGTTTTTCTTTTTCACACCAACTCAGCAACGGAGTTTGGATGGCCAGTCACCTCTTCACTTTTTCCCAGGTCCTCCTGCTGGCGCGAGTCGCTGCAGTTGTTGAAGGTGCAGTTCTTGCTAAGATCACGGATGCGTCACATCAGATGTTTCCACAGGGTGCCACTGTCAACCGAGACACCCAGACGACTCGAGTGCACTTTCTTCCCCCAGACGACTCGAGTCTCATGCAGATTGGGTTCGAGTCTCCGGTCGAAGGCTTTTTTTTCGTGGAGAACAGAGGGACAGCAAGGCAGGCGCCATGCGGGTTCTCCAATCTAGAACCAAACGTTTTAGTCGTTTTGGCTGAAGAGCGATGAATGGTCTCGTTGGTTTCCAGGATATCCGGGACAGCAATTTGGCGCCCTCCTTGCAGCAGTGAGACCGTCATGAGTTGAGGGGCCACTCAACAAACCCTGGGGTGCACGGTGGGCACTGGCGAACCTCCTGATGAACATGTCGTCGGCTCCGATTGATTTTGAGGGGTCTGCGGAGCCAGTTGAAGGGTCTCTCCTCAACGAGGTAGCTATTTTCCCTTTTGGGGGTTCAATGTTTGACATTGTGGACATCATTGAAAGCAGAGAAGGCTTTGATCAATCTTGTGTGTTGGCCTCAAGTGCTTGGGGAATACTGCGGAATGGCAAGCCGCGTGATAGGAGTTAGGACATCACTAACATCCTGAGAATGCACTTTCAAGATTCAATGGGGCCCTCTCCGACTCCGCTGCTGCTACTGCTGCTGCTGCTGCTCGGAACAACAGACTGATGTGGCCCTGACCTGTCCCCAGCCTTTCCATAAGGGTCGATTTATGCCGATTTATCGTACATGCGACTTGTGCTGAGACTGGAAGAATGATTCACAGACATGCCCAGCCTCATGCCTCATGGGTTTATGAGAGTCAAGCTTTGAACAAAGCAGACTCCAAACTAGCTATATCGTATCAATCACATGCGCCGCCACTTAACTTCGTCGTTGACATGGACTCACCTACAACTCACCCCACCGCTTAGATGCCAAAGTGGTGCAGGCCAGCATCATTTCAACATGGGCCAGCGGAGTTTGTGGCCAGGTACCACTTTGGCATCTCTGCTGTCAGTGCCGCAAGCTATTGGAGCCTGGGATGCCCAGCGAGGTGTTTTTCGTTTCAACGTGTTGGCAGGTGTTATCTTGTGTGCACCAAGGTCCATTTCTCTATATTTATGTTTAAAGCACTGATATAGTACATTTTTGTCTTTTTTTCCAGCTGTCGTCCCAAACTGATCATAAGAGCATACTTCAGCAATATTTGTTTTGCCTATGATATACAGTGTATATATATATATATACACAATCTATTGTATCCACCCCTTGTGGGCGAGCCTCCCTGTTTCGCCACCTTTGAACAACATTGAACAACCAGGTCTGGCCTTGGCCTTGCTGGCGGAGGCCTTTTCCGATTTCTGAAGGGTCGGAAAGATTCCGAGATGCAGGCTTCACGGAACTCACAAGGAGGCATTGTTAACAATGTCCCCTTGAAACACCAGCTGGAGCGAGTCCGGGTGGTGTGCAGGAGCGAGTCGGGGTGGTGTGGTGAGCCCCCCAAAAGGATCAGTTCGGGCTGCAATCTGAACAAGATTTACATCCACCAACATGATGACAACACTTTGAGACTCTCAGGCTGCGTGGCTTACTCCAAAAGACCAGCTGCGAACGGCCCAAAAACTTTTGGCCGCTGGCTGGCCCAGCTTGATCAAACTGCGAAAGCATCGGTCAATCTTGTGCCGATGCCTTTACGGTATCAATGGCTATAGAGGTGGCACCCAAGATTGTTGAGGCTTGGCCTTGAGGAATGAATCTTTTTGTGAGTCGAAACATCTGGAATTCTGTTCCAGAACCCTTCCACTTGATTAAACCCCATGAAGGTATGGTTACAATTCGACTTCCAGACCCACAAGCCTCAGTGCCACCAGGCTGAAAAGCAACATGTGCTGACTTCGTTACTCCCAATCTCTCAGTTCTTCTCGTGCCTTGAATCACCCAACATCTTCCAAATCCGGCCGTCCCCTCTTTGAGACTGTGTAAACTTCCAAGTCCTTTTTCAACCAAATCAGGCGGAGCAGAGTGGGCAGCGAGCACGGCCCGAAAGTGTGGAGGCGCGCCCAATGGGCCTTTCACCAGCGAATGTTCGGGGCCTGGAACCTGGGAATGCACACCACGGCCATGCCAAACGATTGATCTCAGACAAGCTGCACAACACCAATCCCTCTACATCATAGACTCCAACAGCCAGGTGCTGCACAAGACTAAACGCAGGTCGTCAGGAAGGCAGTCGTCCGGAAGTCCAGGAGTTCCCAAAGCAGGTCGTGGAGTCGTGTCATTTGGACTCTTAGTGTCAAAGTTCCGTAGAGCGGGATGGATGCAGGTCACCGCTCAAGCACCACCGGTCAAGTCTTTGCTAGACCTTTGAACGGAGCAGATCCTGCCACTTTGCATTAACTTGCTTGGTTGATTGAGACGGCCATTCTGACATGGTGCGTGCTCTTTTAAGCACAACTAATTGTAGAGTCGAGCTACTCGATTGTTGCAGCAAGAGCAAAGATTGTTTCTTCTACTTCCTTGGATCTAGCCGTTCGTGGATTTGGTGGTTTCGTTCAGAACTGTTGGCTCTTCAGGCAGTGCTCAATGCCTGCCTGGTGGCAAGGCATGCGTCGGCGTGGAGCAGCGGAAGAATGCCCTTGAAGACTGCAAGTCCTTTTTTGGAGCAATTTCCATGGTGTCATTTCTTCATTGGCAAGTGGCGCTAGCCTGTTCCATGCCAAAACAGGAGCAGCGATAAGATCTGTTGATGCTTGTGGATCAGGAATCACTGGACAAAGGTGGACAGGTCGACTTGGGTGTGGTGTCGTGCACTCCACCTCTGCAAAAAGCCGCAGAAATGGGAGAAACCGTGTTCAAGCCGGGTTGGTCTGAGGAACTGTCTCTCTTCTGACGTTGAAGACTCGATTCGCAAGCACTGATCATCCACTGATCATCTATATACGAAAAGTCAGACATCTGGAGAATCTTTTACATGGTGCTTTGCTTGCGAACGGATGGACACTGGGTACCTACCTGCCTTGCGTGCCTTTCGTACCTGCGTGCCTGTCAGGCAGTCGGCCTTTGCTTGGCAGCTCTTGCCGAAGGGTTTGGAGCGAGGCGTGGGGGGTGGACGGTCGAGGGTATGGAGACCTCGTGCCACTGGTGGAAGCGGCGTTTCCGGCCTCCATCTTGCCGCATCCACAGTCTTTTTGACTGTTCGTTCTTTTTGAGACAACGAAGTCTGAAAAGGGTACAGCTTGGGTGAGATGTACGGATATGATCTGTACCTTCAAAGCCCGCTTGCTTGGAACCCCCGTTTGCTTGGGCCCAGGATGGAGCCGGAACAAATCCAGGGGATAAAATATCACAGATCATCTCCCTCCGCAACCCGAAAAACCCAAGGGATTTGCCGAGTTTGGGCAGATCCAGATTCCGGAGAACAATCTCGGTTCAATCATTTCTTGTATTCCCTAGGTTTTGACAAATCCACATCAAACATCATGAATTATGGTCCTTGGATGTGAAAAGGGGGTTTATTCAGAACAACTATGAAGTTGCACTGGCTCTTGAAGCCGCTTTGCTCGTGCAGAGCGCTGGTCCAATGACCAAGTGATCGACCGGGCCTCGCCACGTGGGGGCGCCCTCGCCCTGCACCGCCGTGCTCCCCCCGTGGGCCGAGGAAGTATAGTCTCGGCGACGGAAATGGTGGCATCCCTCTACCAGACCCCATGGCAGGTCGACTGAGTGGGAGGGGACTCTGGTAACTCTGGTGGATTGAAGAATTGCACGTCGGGTATTTTGAGGATTTTGGATGAGACAGGAGTCCTTTTAAGTTCACTTGAAAACCAGGAAATGGAGTCATGGAGTGGATTTTCACCCTTACCGCACAGGAAAGCAACGAATGACTCACGCAGGTTGTTTGAGCACCACTCGAGTCACATCCACATGTATCTCTGTAGAGGTACTATTACTATGAAAACAGATTGTTCATCAACTTACCGGCCCAGCAAAAACTGAACATAGGCTTCCTTCTAGAGTCTTCACACCCTTGCGCAAGGAGACTCTGGAGCAACTAGCAGCCTGCCCCTCCTCCTGGCTTGTAGGGGGCCTTTGTTGCGCATAAGCTTGGTGTTAGCAGGGCAGCTACTCTCAGATTCCGGGATTGGTGCAGTTTCTCTGTTTAAGAAACCACATTGTTCGTCCCACGGAGCAAATGCAGTTCTTTTTTCAAGGGAAGGTTCTGCACTGTATACACCAATTCTCTTCTAGGGATGTCACTCTTTTTTGCTGAGGGCTGTTGGGAAGGCCAACGGAGTGAATCAGCTACGATTCGAGTCATCATGGCTACCCGGCTACCCTGACAACGTACCTGGCTGTTTCCATCGTGATATCACCAATGAAACCATTGCGAAAACGCCGCTGAGGTTTTCACGCGCCCTTCCATATTGCTTTGCCTGCTTTGCCTGCTTTGATTCCCAATAGAGGTCCAAGACACAGTGCTTTCATCAACGCCTGTTTGATCTGAATCAACTGAGAAAGTGTACACCTCCAGGATGAAAGTACCTATCCCATTGTTAGGTTGCTCAACAGGAGGCTGTGCGTGGGGTCTCCATTATAGACAACGTCTGAAAAATAGACTTTGACTTGTTTGATCAAAGTACATACATTGCATTGTTCAAGTATGTATATGGGTTCGAATAGTTCTCCATCTGCTGTGGTTGCTCCGAGCACGTGGATGGCTCCGGTGGAGCTCACCTAACTCCCAGGCCGGAACGTTCCGGCCTGCCTTGCGCGCGAGCCGGGCGTGGCTTGGCCTGAGCTTCGCTCGGATGGATCCTGACTGGCCAAGGAGGTACTCTAATGATTAATGAGACCTTCACTTCCGATTCCCTGGAATCACAAAATGAGTACCTGCAAGTGTATTAGCCACATGATTTGCTTCTTTGATGGTGCTGGAAGTGCCACAGTGGCAAACAGGCGCTGGAAAAGGATCTCTCTCTCTCTCTCTCACACCTCGTGCTTCTCCGGGTGAAAACATGTTGGACTGGTTGATCCCCCCACGCAGTGGGACGGTTCAAACACGCAGGTCCTCCGGCCCTCCCGCCCTGGCGGTTGGTGGGAGGAATTACATCGCTACACTTCCTATAGTCCTATAGCGAACCCAAAAATGATCGAACAGTGAATCCCATGTGAATCGCCTCGAAGAATGTCTTGGACATGAGGCTCTTGTCTATGTCGGTGCAGTCTATTTCGTGTGAACCCTCCGGCTGTTCTCATCTTTTCATAGGGCTTTGGAAAGGTGCTGCTGCTGCTGGTGCTGCTGCTGCTCAGCCGATTGAGCATGGTGCTTAGGCCTGGAGCCTCAACATTGGCCAAGAAACTGGCGGCCAAAAAGCAAGCGCATAGCAAGCACAGCAAGCAGGGGTGTTGTCCGATAGATCGGCAAAAAAGGGCGTCAGAAGAAGGTTTGACTGTTTGACCCCAGCTCATGTGTATCTGCGGAGGGTTGTTGTCGCATCGAACCAATCTCTCCTCGTTTTCAGGATTTGGCAGCTCATGCGATGTTTCTGGAGATGGGGGTGTTGTTTGTTGGAATGTCCCCGATCAAGGAGGTTGAAGTGCAGGGCTAGAGACTGTTGCTTTTGTATTTGGTCCATCAGTGGGCCGCGAATTGGGTGATTTCTCCGTATAGGGTCTTAACCTAGAGATGAACCCAGCAACTGGGGATGAGGTTTCCATGAGTGTTAGTATCAAGTAAGGCATGAATGTCATAGAACAGCTACAACTTGATAGAACGAAAGCCTGGTGTGCAGAGCATCAAATTAGCATGTGATGTGCCACAAGGACTTGAGGGACCAGAATGCACATAACGGATTTTTTGAAATGATCGGGAGAACCCGGTTGTGCTGCATGAAATGAGAGACACTTATTATTCATGGAACCCGACCAAACGTGAGCAGACAGAGAATTCTCTCGCTGGTTTATGCCGCTCAGAGATCATTCCTAGCTTGGACTTGTTGAGAGTTGAGGCCGATCCTACGACCGGCTCGGCCGATCTGAGTTCAAAGCACCCACCTGGCTTTGAGTGAAAATGAGACCAAGAGAAGACTGGGGCTACGTAGCTCGGTACACTTCGGAGGGTCAAACACCTGCCCTGGGCCTTGGGGAGGTGCTGTTTTGTGGGCGAAACATGCAGTAAAGGGCCACGACACTTGCCGAGCTGTTTTCATGAGTCAAGTCCGTCAAGTAGCAACAAGTCTAGGGGCTGTGTCGACTTTCTGCAAGTCACCAGCCTCTGGAACAGATCCGATCTGCACAGATAGGGAGGCTTCTTAAAGCTCAGAACCTCTAAGAAGAACTCGGGGTGCGAAAACCAAATACCCCCAAACAAACTTGCATTGGAATGCCAAGGAAGATTCTTCCAGCATCTCTTGATTTTTGATCCACAAAATACAGGGTGCCCGGAGTGGAGCTGGCGTCATCACCAAAGAAATAGACCTGGAGCTTTGCTCCCTGCTAGCCGCTCAAAACGAGGCCTCAAAAGCGGGCCTCAAAAAAGGAGCTTGTGAGCTGCACAGAGTCCCCAGAACCCTCTGTAGCAACCATTTATATTAATTTTGTGTTTTTTTTGCATTTTTTTGCGTTTTCTCTCTCTCTCTCTCTCTCATTTTCTCGGTAAAGTTGCGACGGAGTGGTGTGTGGGCCACCGGAGTCCTTCTTTTTTGGAGACACCCACGACACCGACTCACTCCTATGGACATCCATGGATCCCATCTCACCTGGTTCCCAGCCTTTCCTTCGGCCCTGGCTGCGCCGCACACGCCGCGCCATGGGACTTTTCCGCCATGGAGCTCTATCCACCGAAGGCCCGGAAATGGTGGACGTGGACCTCTCACCGATCCAGGTGGTCTTCCAAAAAGGCCGCCCTTTCATGATCTTTCCATTCACTTCGACTAAGTGTCCTGCCTTGGTTTTGCTGTGTGTCACATGTCTGGTGCTTTTTGGTCGCTGTGGAGGACGACCCCTGGCTTCCCTTGGTCCTGACCTTCATTTCGTGGCTGACGCAGGGGCCTTGGGCGTCTTGGGGGATGGGAGCGGTGTCCCAGCGGAGGCCTTCAAACGAGATGCTTCACACACCTGGGCTCTTGGTGGTTGAAGAAAGAGCCCCATGCTTTCGGGTTGAGAGAAATGCTGGGTGAGGCTGCCAATGCGGTGCTGATGTTAAGGCTCATGGCTCACAGCAACGGCATGAGTCAAGGCGATCTAATGATTTCATTTGGAAGAGGTCAGCTTCTTCGTCTTCTCTCCTCTGAAATTTTCCACGCTGTATACACCACTCGGATTTCTCGGGTGGGGGTGGGGGTGTGATCTCCAGCTGCCGCCGGCTGCTGCTGGCGCTGGATCGCCGCCTTCGCGGGGCGGGGCTCGGTGGGTCGGGCTCCCCGAGGTTTTCCTTGACGATGCTCCTCTTCGCCTTTGGCGAGGCCGGGGAGGGTTGGTGAGGCTCATAGTCTCACAGCCAGAAATGAGCCACTTCAGTGGGAATGACTGAAGTGGCAGACTGACTAAAGGTCAGCCTCCAGCTTTCTATTCTTCAGCTTTGGCTATGAGCCACATGCCCCGGACCCGGAGGAGATCGGCCATACAATCTGGGCGGTTTGGCTGAGCGCCCTTCTGTCCGGAGGCCAAGTAGAAGTTAGCTGTCGCAACATCCTTCGCAACATCTCCAAGTATATTAATTATCTAGTGGACACTCGGAAAAACACTTTGGAAAGCTATGAACCTAATAGGGGTTGCACAGTGAAGGCTTTTCTCGTTGGTGGCAAAGCAGAGCATCGTTACAGCTTTCAAAAGAGCTCCCCAACCCAAACCTGCCACAAGTTTTGCGAGATTCACACCAAATCCGACGATCTTATGAACTGCTACCCTGCCTGTGGAGTATGTCACAACCCCCAAGGGGCGGTTTGTACAGCTTCGCAGCGGTGTGCCGAAACGCAGAGACGAACGGTGCGGAAGAAGTCAATCCAATCGGCAGGTGTTTCATCAATCGGCTTTGATGTGTTTAGAGTTAGGTCTGAGACCAGCAAGATTCTGGAACCTGTACTATAGTGGAGGATGCAAACTTGAGCCAAGAGCCATAAACTCTGAGGTCCTGTGCCGAGAGATGCCAAAAGTTAAGAGGGGAGTTGCCTTCTCCCCGAAGTCTTTGTTCAATCCGTTCTTTTTGGGGGTGATTGGCCGCAAGCCAGGCTAATTATATAGTTAGACTTGGTGTGGAAGAGAAGCTTGGAATGATGGGTTCCACCTGCAGATTCGATGACACATACACAGTCGGCTAACCCACAAAACCGCATTCGTGTCAGTGTTAGGACCAAAGTATGGCATACACATCGTTTCACAGAAATTGTGTCATACATGTCCCCATGAAAGAATGGCTGACATCATTTGACCTACCAATGGATGCTCATAACCTGATAGGCAACCTCGGATATGCAATACTCGTCAATGCAGATTTTGCTCACTTGTTGCCAAACCAATCATCCAGAACTCCCACTCAACAAGTGGATTGCCATAACCTGATAGGCAACGGGCGCCACCATCCGAGATTCAATCGTCGTCAAAAAACCTTGGATCCTGAAAGAGTCATTGGGCACGATCAGTTGGAAATCCATTGGAAAGCCACCGACAGTAAATTACCACGTTTCAACATACGTACTGTAATATTTATACAATACTTGTGGAACTTTGGTGGCTATCTTTGGAGGGACTCTGCGCATTTTCCTGATGCTACGGATTGGTGGCCATCCGAAAAACATAGTCTTGGACCGAACCCAAAACACGCCAGCCCACTAGCCTGTTCAAAAGTTTTTTTGGCATAGTTCAAAGATTTGTCCAGTGGGGCTCAAGCCCTTTTGGCTGATATCACACACCTTGGCCTGAAAGACATTCCCTCTGGGAAATGGTGTGTGGTTTGTGCTGGTATCATTTTCAATACTATGTTTGTTTATACATATGCTTCATATCGTATTATATATCTAGGATGTCGGTTCCAAGTTTTCGGTTGGTAGGTAGGAACTTGGAGGCCACTATCAGTGCAACTGTTCAGTCACCTTTTTACTTTCAGTTCTATCGAACATTCGATCGAAAACTTGTTTTCGCCTATGCCATTTTGGCTAGACCGATCAAACGATCGCCAGGCATTGAAGCTCTTCTTCAGGACTAAGGGCCTGGGATCGTTCGACCAATCGCGGATCAAGGCAAAGCAGCTCCTGCCAAGGCCATGCCTCCTGTGCTCAGAAAAGCGCCTCCAGCAGCCTTACAAAGGCAGTTGCTCAATCCCTCTATGAGGTGGGACGACTCGTCCTCAGTGAGCTCGTGGACACTAGTCGATGAAGAAGCTGGCCAGGCTAATCAGTCAACCAGCTCCGCAATGCCAACAGTCCATCTCAAAGCGTGCCGCCTCCTCCACCGCCACCTGCTCAGCCTTCACAGTTCCCGAAGGCAGCAGCTGCCTCACCACCTGTGGCTCAAGCTGCTCAGAGTTTTGTCTCCCATGCCAATGAGACACCTGCATCCAGAGGGCATCGTCGCCAACAGGAACAAGCAGCTCGCAGAGGCCGAAGCGCCGGTCGTTGGGGACAGCTCACTCCTGGCAAATTGGTTCACAACCCATTGAACACACAGCTGCCTGAGCATATCTCGCAGATTGGCTCTGGTGAGGGCGAGCGCTCAATTCGGATCATCGACAATCGTGATCGCAGGGTGCAAAGCACGTAATTACCAGAGCTGGCTCGTAGATGAGATCCTCACCAATGCGCTCTCCTACGTGAACACCAAGCCTACCTGCTCCTTGGTGAGATCACCTTCAACTGGCTATCATGTCAACATCTTCATGATCAAGATTTTGGATAGCATGAAGGTCTTCATTTGCGGCTCCGCCACCTCATACTCGAGTGTGCCCTGCGCAAGATGGGATGCCTTATCAGGCTCGGTGCTCAGCCATGCGGCTTTTCAGCCGTTTCGATGGCCCCCGATGACTCGATGACCGAGAACAGCCCGACCTGGGTAGACGTGAAAATTATGGTGGAAGGAAGGCCAGGTGCTTGTACACCTGGAACTCAGGGCTATCGCTCAGATAGGGATATGTCCGCTCAAGTATTGCATATCGCCGATGCAACTCACTCGATTTTGAGCGAGACCGTTTTCATCCCATCGGTAGTTCTGACCGTGTTCCAGGGGTGGTGGCTCATTGCCATCTCGTGAGGGCGGATCTACGCTGCCCTGGACTACCCCTTGTGCCACTTCGAGATCAGGTTCGTGGCCACGTCATCGCCGGATGCCTTTGGTGCAGACGCCGATCGGCTGGAATTCCGTTTTCTTTCAGGTGGTGACTGCCTTGACTTATCGGCCTGCGGCTCGTGTGGAGTGCCCTGATCAAGCTTTGCTGCAATTCATGCTCCTTGGGCTACCCAGATCGAGGCGGCCACTGAAGAGGAGACGGGCCCACGTGCGTCAGGGGACGGTCGCTGTGGAATCTCTTCAATGTTCATTTGGTCAGTGAGATCCCACTTTTCAAGAAGGAGAAAGTGATCGTGAAAGCCGAGGCGCTCGCCCTGCAGAGCCATGATCCTTTGGGCGAGATCGTGGCCAGCATTGACCCTCCGATCTGTGAGGGCTCCATCCTTGAGGCCGGTTCGCTCGAACCAGGCCTCGCAGGGAAATTGAAGGGGAAGCTGATGTTCGGAGCTTCCTTCGAGCCATCTCTGAGAGACAGTATGCTCACATTTCCGCGTGCGATCGCTTTGGGTTAGGCCCCCCTTCACGGGAAGCACTGAAGCAGTGGCTGTTGCTCGTTGAAGAGGGACCCCCGACAACAATGGATTTTTGTGGCATTTAAAGGGCTGATGTAGTCATCTTCACAGACGTTTTTTTCCTGACTCGAGTGATACGAGGCCCAATAGATCAGGGGGTTCTTTTTCGACAGACGCCTGTCCCATTCACCGAAACTGTTCTTGAAAGCGTCGTTCGGAAGTGGCTGGCTCGAAAGACTCAGATCGTGCCGGTGCAAATGCTGGCGCCCGTCTTGGCTCTGGAGTCCCTGGAGACCTCCGCCGATCGACTTGTTGGAGCTTTTCAGGTTCACCGATTCGGAAGTGGTCGAGTCTGCTTTGGTCAAAGGCTATTCAGGTAAAGGCAAAGAGGATCTCTGCACTGTGATTTCCGTGTAAGGGCTCGAGTGTTCATCGATTGAGTTGCCACAGACGCCAATCCAGCAGATGGTCCATCGAGAAATGATCTCAGGAAAGGTGAACCCGTGGGGCGGTCGTGCTCAGCCGCGTGGCCAGACGCACTCGCTCACAACGTTCGCCGTTCCAGCGGATTCAACAGAATCTTTTGTACTCCCAAGGGGGCCAACGGCAGACAGGACTCCAGTTTCCGCATTTATCTGGCTTGATGGTGATATACCTCGGCTGACTTCGATTTCCAAGCAGACCTCGGGATGTCTTGGCCTTGTGAAGGGGTTTGCGTCAAAAAGTTTAGTGAGCTCAGGGCCTGGGAGGTTTGGAAGTGGTTTCCAGTTGTTCGACCAAGGGAGCTCGTGAAGAGCGCTTCGCGAAGAAGGTACCCCCCTTTGTTGTTACTTGGGTAATCACTGGAACCTGTCTTACTTTTCATTATGATCAAACCTGAGGGCCACGCCACTGTGGCCTCTCGGTAAAACATTGTTTACGCTGCTGCCGCGAGACTGGTCGGTGACTGAACAAGTGAACTTGTGAGTGGTGTTGCTCAGACGGTGGGTTCCAAGTTTTCGGCTGGTAGGTAGGAACTTGGAGGCCACTATTAGTGCAACTGTTCAGTTACCTTTTTACTCTCAGTTCTATCGAACATTCGATCGAAAACTCGTTTTTGCCTATGCCATTTTGGCTAGACCGATCAAACGATCGCCAGGCATCGAAGCTCCCAACCCGCCCGCCCTTGGGTGGGCAAAGTGCGATAGAGTTCTCAATGTCTTTCAACTGTACAGGGAGGTTTGGAAGTGGTTTCCCCTCTGTTCAGGTTTTGATACACTTACACCAGTTGAATTCAGGGAGCTCGTCTTTGTTGTTACCTGGGGTGATCACTGGAACCTGTCCTATTTTCATTATGATCAAACCTGAGGGCCACGCCCCGATGCCTGTGGTCTCTCGGTAAAACAGTGTTTACGCTGCTGCCGCGAGACCGGTCGGTGACTGAACAAGTGAACTTGTGAGCGGTGTTGCTCAGACAGTGTACAGCATACGTTCTTATAGCCTGATCATTGTCATTCAACTTCAGAGTCAAATCTGACTAAGGCTTGCCATCTTTGTCCTTTCGATGGCATGGGCTCGGCGAATGCCGGTGCGGAGAAGCATCCACCGGGGACCGGGACGGGGCTCTGCATGAGGACAGATGAGAAAAAAACCTCATAGCCTCGTAGCCATTAACCTTTGTGCATGCCGCATGCCTCACTTACTTAGTGTGAAAATGGACCATGGCCCCTGTCAAGACAATGCGAAAAGTGGGGTGTCCCACTTCCATGTCAGTCAGTGGGAGTGCGTAACAATGGAACAACACCTGTGTTTGCCTTTGATGTTGAAAGGGCTCATCCAAAGCCCGGACCAGGGAGCTGCCTCACTTCTCCACAGGCAATCATTAGGAATGAGGCGGATAGCTGAAGGATGGGCGCGGCACAATGATCCACCTCTGTTGCCATTGTCCCTTTGAAGAGTATGATTTGGCCGTTTTCATGCAAAGAATCGGATCACCTGCCAGGGCCAGATGCTCCTAGGCTATTTCCTGCTGGCTGTGCGGTCCTTCAGATCTTCGGATGCTTCTCACCAGGACTGAGGTGCCACAGATCGCAACATCGAACATACACGGTCCCATGGGTCCCATGTTGTGAACCGAATGTAGAACATAGGAAAGAAGGAATGTACACCAGTACACGTAAAATGTAGATAGCATGTTGAAAGCGTTTCAACAATTCTTGGTGTCATGGGACCTGAACAGAAGTGGTACACATGGGAAGCAGCAAGATTCATGTTGCCGTGGGCCATGGAGGTTTTTGATATTTTCCGCTAAGGACCTAGACAACTTCGGACTTGGCACTCCCTGTGGTGCGTTGGCGTGTTTGGACGACGCTTGATAGCTTTCTCCATGGGTTTTCAAGCCAAGCTGGACCATCCCAGTCGATCCAAGCTTGATGAGTTTGACTATTGGACCCCCCTCAACAGACCTTCCAACAAATTGCTTTGCACCCACCAGGTACTTCTCCAAACGTTTTCAAAATCCACCATGATCCAGTTTCGTGGCAAACGACCAAAACCTTTCTGCGCTTAAATGCACTCAATTTGAGCCCTTCAAGAAGAATCGATGAACCAAAATCAGGAACTCGATATCTTCAGACAACACACCAGATCCCTCGTATCACAAAACATTCCCGAGGCCTTGCTGCTGGCGGTGCCCTTCGGCGAGTCCGTGGCGTGCGGGACACCTTGCCACGATGTTTCCTCCGCTTTTGGGAAGATGGTTGCCGGAAGGTGTGCCAGACGTTCAGAATTGGGGAAATTGGGTTTGGTGGAAGGGAAAGGGTGTGAAGCTCCATCGCCGGGGATCCCTCTTTTGAGACACCTCCCTCTTTCAGGATGTGGCATCAAACACCATCCAAATCTGGACATGTGGAAGAAACACTCTTCTGACGTCTTCAATTATTTCCCTCCAAGAATACAAACACATGACACATGACCGAAATGGATGAATCCAACCCACCGCTTAAGCCCCCTGTTAAGCCTTACTCCTCGGCGGGACCGGCTCAGGGAGAGCTTTATGGATGAATTCTTCAGACTGAGGTGGGGGGGTGTTGGGGGTGTTGGGGCCAGTGCTGTTTTCAGGAGGTTTGGGTCGGGTAAAATCTGTCCGTTTCGAGCAGCGTCAATGATGCTTCGGTGACTAGATCTTGTCGTGGAGATTCCTGGGCTTCCTAAGTTCTGGCCCAGAAGTTCCTACTTTCCCGGGTCCAACCTGAAATTGGACTCTATACGTAGGGGTCAGTAGGTCCAGGGAGAAGATCCAACTCTTGTGCAAGGTAAATCACCTCTCCTTCTTTCGGTGACTACCTGAGGAGACTTGCTCCCAATTCTGTCTGCGTTTTGGGAGAAGGTTTACATCTGGAACTCTGGAACCACACACCCATCCGTTTTCATTTGGGTTCCAAACAGACTGGTAAATAGAGAAGCAAAATAACACACCCCAACATCCTGAGAGTGGACTCATCACTGGCAGCCCAATGTTGACTGGAAACCATCGACCATGGGGTTTGCAACGCCAGGGGTGGGGCCGCCTATCGCCTCAAAGCTTCCACTGCAGGCGCAGCAGGAGTAGAACTTGTCTCCGGGAGCTTGTAGAACCACATGTTCGCAATTCCACACTTCCCCAAAACAAACACCCCAAACCTCCGGATACTGCATTTTCAGAAGGGTTTACGAAACTGAGCCTTCTCCAGTCGCCCGGTTGCCAAAACAACCCCATGACCCATCTCCAGACCCATCTCCAGTCTCCCAAACACCGTCCTTGACCATCACGCACACCACTCGCGCGACGGGAGGCGCTTCAGTGCTGGACGCCACGGTGCTACACTTTGAGAAGGGCGACTTCGTGAATGTCGGGGCGCCTGGTTTGTCCTTCTAAGGAACAGCTCCTTCTGGGCCCAGCGACAAAGGAGGCCGGAAAGGATGTTGCTTGGTTTGGCAGAGGTGAAGGCGAAGGATCTACTTCAGATGCTTAGATTCGGCAGACGTGTGGCTTTTGGATTGATCTAGCCTAGCCACTCTAGCCGCTAGCCTTTCACACTTCAGTGGCTGGCTTCCACTTCTAGCGCTTTTTTCATGCCACTGGAAGGCCTCGACTGCCGGTGGGGAGGTCGACCGTGACCTCTCCGGCTCGAAGAGAGGGCCGGGACGCCTTCACTGAGGCGAGTAAGAGCATTGGCTTCAAGAAGGCGGGTCTGAAGCATCGGAGGTCTGCGGGTGATCGATCTTCTCGAGTAAAAATCCGGCTTTCCGGCATTTGTTGAAAGAGATACTGGGCCACAAGCTTATGCTAAGCGAAGCTGAGTGGCTTTCCCTCAACCTCCATCAAAAGTTGGTCTACACAAAACACTCACCTGCCTCGCGCACTCTGAATATGGGATCGGAACCCCAAAGTATTGGAAGTATGGCCACCGTATTGGACCAGTTGTTTTGAGGCAGTTGGTCCACCGTCGACCAAAACGGAGAACGGGCCAACGTCGACCTTTCGGGTTCCCGTTCCAATCACGAAAGCTCTTTCCGCTTGATACGTTGGCCGTGATACGTTGGGCTCGTCGTTCCTTCCGTCTTCTTCCCTTTCGATTTCCTGCCTTCGTTCCTTCGTTGTTCATGGGCATTCTGTGATATTCACACCAAATGACAGATCCATGCCAAGGATTAAGCCATGTCCACCGTTCTGATTCAGGTGGTTTATCTTTCATGGACGCTTAGGTGATTGTCATCATGTTCTGGTTTTTGAGAGTACAAGCGTTCTCTGTGTGGGAGTGACCTTCAGTGACCGAAAATGCCGGCACTGGGGTGTTCAATGAAGATCAGCACATGAAAGGGCCCTGACATTCTTTTAATCGTTTTTGGTACTGGCCCCACAACTCAAGGGCCCAAGGCGCCATTTCGCCAGCAACGACCATGAACTTTCGGTTGGATCTTTTGGATTGCAAAAAGACTAAAAACACTTTAGGACTGGCATTACTACTAGTAACAAGAAGCTACTAGGTTGGAGGCCATCACTACTATGGTGGAGGCCATCGCTATTAGGTTGGAGGCCATTACTACTAGTAGCAAGAAGCTACTGGTAGCTAAGGGGCATGAACTTGGGGTGAGTTTTTGGTTGGATCTTTTGGATTGAGAACCTGGGAATCAGACGCCACCTTCCAATGGCTGGCAGCGAGTGAGGCGGGGCATCTCTATTGTGTGGCGCCACTCTTGAGCCAACGTCCCAGTGTGGTGGAGAAGGGTTCACCTCAGCAGTGCTCAGTTGAAGGACATGAATCACATACATATTCTCCAAAACGGCGAGTTGGGGAGCTCCATTCAAAGAAATACATTCCTCAGTTGCAATCAGCCAAAAAAGAGTACCTCCCAAATCGAAAGAACCTCTCTGAAGCAGGTGAGAAGGTGACCAGGTGGACATTTTCAGTGAATCCTAGTTGGGTTCATCGAAGCTCGTTGGTGGTGAGAGGATCGATGTTTTTGTTGCCCTTGCGATTCGACAGACCAGACTGAACCTTGCGAATCAACAGACGTTTTTCCCTATCTGTCGATCAGCTGATAAATCAGATAGGTTCTTGGAGGGGGTCAGTTTGATTGGATGGTCGATGTTTGTCAAGTAAATGCACTCAAGTTGCTGGGAGTTTTTTTGGTTTTTGTTTGCTATCTTCCGGTTCTTATCCGATGCAGAGATTCTTTGCAAAACAACTGTCATAGGATTGGTCGCAGGACAATGTAGCAGCCATGGGAGAGCCAATCGCTGTTGCCCACCCATTTTCGCACAGAAAGACCCAACGACAAGACCTGAACAGATGCGGTTCTGCAACGGGGTTCGCCCATACTTGCGATGGCCGGTTTGAACCGTTCTTTTGCCACTTTCCGCATCGCCTTCTCTGCGGCAAATTGGTTGTTTCAAGTGCCAGGCAAAGGGCTGGCACAGACGGATACAGTGAACTAAACAGCCACTTCTACAATATTCCTTACACATGTTACATATCACATTAACGAATTATTCTCATCTGAGGCAACATGACAACGTGAGACAACTCTTTGACACCGGTGACGACCAAATAGAGGCCCCATGTCGTTCAGTCCTGGCAAGTGGTGCCAGCGCGGCCGCGTGCAGCCCGAGAACACCTATCGACGCCCGGTTCAGACGAGAACTCGCCCGGTCCAGGTGCGGAGATCACATGGGTTTGCACTTCTTCGGAAGGTCAGTTTCTCGAATCCATCGCAAGAAACCTTCCATGGTTCATAAGTGGTTTAGGATGTAGTTCGAACGCCTCCCCCACAGGAGCCGTATAGACAGCCCCCCCCTCGGTCCCCCTACAGACAGTTCCCGTCAATTCGTTTCGTGCGCCTAGCCGTGCTACAGTGATCCAATTCTTTCGTTTTCAATCCCAGAGCGGTGGGATTCAATGGGTGTGTCATGCATTTGAGAGTTGCGTTGGGTGCGCCATCACCAACCCAAGCTTCTTCCTTTTTTGGGCATAGGGTAAGCTTCACCTTTTTGCCCTTGTAAGAGATCGGTCATCGGAACGTGGCAACGCTGAGGAGTGGTGTTGGAACGTGCTGATGCCCCTCGGATGTGAGAAGTCATCTCTTTTCAGGAGGTTTCTGGTTCCCCCGAACCAGCAAGGAACGAACCGTGAATCGATTCGTGGCTCATGTGCCACGCAGACGGGCTGGACATGAACAGGGCATCTCATGTGAATAGAACAGATATGCTAAGAAAAAGAGCAGACCATCATAGACCACTAACGAACATAGTATTATGTACATAGTACTAACTTTATTCTCTTCAGATGGTCAATCTTGGGGATTCGCTTGATTGGGCATCCGTCATTTTCTCCGGCATCCGTCATGCCTTTCCACTGCTCGAGCCGGTGGAAGACGCTACCAACCGATGAACCGAAAACGAAGAACGCCTTCATGAGATCCTGTTTTCCATGGGTGTATCAATTCAACAGTTGGGCATCCCAGCCCCAGACAGGCCGGTGGACGATAGTAGCATCATGGCTTTCTGCATAGTAGCAACCAGCATGGGTTGTTCGAGCTCAGACAACGTGGCGAGGATCAAAAGATTGGGATGATCATCGCGGGGCATGCAGCGGTCCAAGGACGGGCCTTCGGCGCCGTCCACGAATGGTCTGTCTACAGCGTGCACGAATGGTTCTCCGGATGAAGCTGGTGAACGTGGGCCACGTAGATTCGATGGTGTAGTTGAGATGGTGCCAAGAAGATGAATGGCTGGTCTGTCTTTTCTCTGGATGGACTTCCAGGGTCTTGTGCATCAACATGTCCAGGGTCTTGCAGGCCCAGATTTGAAGCACCACGAGTCCATCATGACAAGTTCTTGCTGGTTGATGGACCTTTCGCCACTAGCTGCTACTAGCTGCAGTCCCCGCCTGGCTTTGGGCCCACGCGTTTGTCATCGTTTCTCCGCGCCTGGTTTTGGGGCGTCCAAGTCGGTCAGGACTCATCATCGTGGACATCCAGGACTCTCCCGCTGTGATCCAGTGGAACCTGGAGAATCCGCAACTGCCCGTGGTTCCCGGGTCTGACATATGCGGTGCACGGATGGGAGGGATGTTGGAAAGCAAATTGGGAGGGTCGAGAGTTGTACTCTGTATACTGTATTTGTTTCTTGGGGGTGTTATTGTTATTGGAAGATGGGGGCGGTGCAATCTTTCAGGATCGGACGACGGCGGGGGCTTTTGAGATGAACTCATTGCTTCCTACGCATGTGAGAAGCAGAGCCACTGAATCGTTTGGTCTCATGGTCGATGCCTTTTTTAGGCGCACTGGTGAACACGAAAGGCGGGGTGCGTGTGCGAGGTGCCGGGGGTTCTCGCGCGGGCGTGCGGGTGCTCAGGAAGTGGGGCACCTCATCTTGGAGGTCAATGGGATCTCGATGGACGGCCGGGCGATGCTCCAAGCCTTCAAGACGGACAGGCGGATGATGGTGGATGATTCGGTGTGTGTTTTTGAGGCAGTGCCTTTCGTGGATGTTTTTGGGTATGAGTCTTTTTTTGAGGATGGAGAGGCCATCACTTCTAGGTCGGAGGCCATCGCTAGTAGGTTGGAGGCCATTCCTATAAGGTTCCTTTTGCTTCTAGGTTGGAGGCCATCGCTTTAAGACCACATTACATCCCTATGCCTTGCCCGCTTGGTATGCAAGCACCGTCGCAAAAGACACACGTTTCCACTCCTGTAGTATTGCTTGTGCTCACGCAGGGAACAACTATATACTCTTGACGCATGCTCTATTTTGAAGATCAGAAGGTCACCAGGATGGCCTTCCTCCAGGATCCTGTCATTGGATTCCACGCACCCATCTCTCCTCCGTCGCACCCGAAGTCTGCGGGTTTCTGGCCCTCACAAAAGGACTAGGAGTCTACCATCCAAGGAGTTCTTTTGATGCATCATCCCTCACAGGTTTCGGGTCCCATTCTCTCGAAAGGCCATGAACTCATGAACGGTTGTCCCCGGAATCCCTCCATAGTAACCCCCTCACTTGGCCCGGCGTGGTCGAAGCCGGTGGCCAGGGTGGTCGACCTGGTCTTACAGACAAGCCTCAATGAGCTCCTTCGGTTGAAGCGCGAAACGCGGCGTTCTTTTCGCTGGGTGTAGCAAGGGTGTTTCAAGCTGTGATTCGTGGGAGACCCAAAAACCACCGGGTCTTCAGCAGCTTTCTCCATCAACCTGTGCGATCTCTCTAGCCGGACACACCTTGGAGGGCGGACTCTCGATGCGATCAACCACCAACGATCGGCTTCTCCAGTTCATCGATAAGGTTGAAACGGTGTGTCTCCACCGATTCGATGAAGCAAAGCAACGTGGAATCTCTTAGGAAACGTAGCGCTTGGCAAAAGACAGCTCGGGCTCCAGAGTTGATTCCGTTCATTGCTTGCTGCCCTCTGAAGCCAACACGCCCTGAGTTTTTCTTGGATCGTGTTAGTCAGGGGTCATTCAGCTGAGCATCTGGAGTTTGGAGGTGTTCCTGATGTCGGTTTTCTTTGTTCTTCAAGGTCATTTGTTGTTGTTGCTGCTGCTGCTGGTGGTGTTGTTGTTGTTCTGGTTGTTGTTGTTGTTGTTGTTGTTGTTGTTGTTGTTGTTGTTGTGATAAAGCCAATTAATCATGCATGCAATTCTTCCCTAGAACTCTTCTATAATGCTACTCTTGCAGATTGAAAAAGCAAGATATCGTCAGTTTTGATCCAATCATCACCCAACTATTGCAGAGTCACGAATATGCAAAAGGCACTACCCACCAAACACCGGCACACGTGCCCACCACCACCACCACCACCACCAC